TCTTTCTCTGTAATTCTGTCTTTCAAATAAACAAAATAAATCTTTTTTTTTTAAAAAGTCACATATTTTGGGGAAACATGGGTTGAACTAGAACGAGATGGCTCTGAAAGATTTGGTTGGATCTTTGGGGCTAGCAGTCTGAGATTTTTTTTTCTCCCTGAAACATTGGTAGGAAAAAAAAAAAAAAAAGAAAAACAAACTTTCTGGAAAAGCAGTATGGGGAGCCCTTGGCACAGAAGCCAGTGTTGGTTTTGCTTGGTTCTAGGCAGACAACCCCTCTGCCTGTTAGTCTGCCACTGCCCCATGTGTACCCCTGTTCACGGTGCTGCTCTGACCGTACTGGGGCCCGCTCATTGCTAATAGGGCAGAAAGTGGAATGAGGCCTCTCCTGTTATCCCAGAACTTCTGCTAAGGTTTCAAAGGTGAGGGCACTGGGTGACATACTTCCTCCTTCTGGTAACAGGCAGCCAGACTGGTCCTTTGACCATCAATAACCATCAACCTCTAGCCTACACAAGGTAAGGTCAAGATATCATCCAGAGGTTTCTCTCGCTCTTCTAATCCCCAAGCCAAGAGTGAAGGTGACTCAGGGAAGTCACTCATCAGATTGGCAGCACTGGGGGAGGAGGGCTGGTAACTCCCCTGGGGGTTTCCCGGGGTGGCATGAGGGAGCAGAAAGGGCAGCCAGAGGAGTGGCCGATCTGAAGCCAGGAGCCAGGAGTTTCCTCTGGGTCTCCCACGTGGGCACAGGGGCTCAAGGACTTAGGTCATCTTCCATTGCTTTCCCAGGCTGTAGCAGAGAGCTGGATCAGAAGTGGAGCAGCCAGGACACAAACTGGAGCCCCTATGGGATGCCAGCACTGCAGGCAGTGGCTTTACCCGCTATGCCAAAGTGCTGGCCCCCAAACTGTATTTCTAATGCCTGATGACACCAATCTTAAGAGTCGCAACTAATTTAAAAGCTACGGGATCTACCAAGATATGTCTCACAGAGGACGGAGCTCTGCCGATGGACCTGAGTGTTGACAAGCAGTGGCAGAGAGAAAGCAAAGCCAGTTCTTGACTTCCACCTCCCCTTCCCCCACCAGCTTCAGTCCATTCAGTAGCCCAGTGGTGGTCACTTCTTCTGATTTTTGATAAAACCACTCCAACACGTGTGTTCTCCGGAGGGTGTATGCAGATTCCAGCATAAAATGTGACAATATCAACAACAACATCCCAGCAGCCAACTCCAGCTCTCCAAGCTTGTAATCAGTGAGGTTCTAAGCAGTTTGGGGGGGGGGGAGCACTCTACCTAAAGGAAGCAAGTGCAGGTGCCAGCAGGGCCCAGGCAGGGAACAGGAAGAAGGGGCGAAGAGGACCAGGTGGGACTGTTAGGGAACCGAGGGCCCAGGCCCTCTCTCAAAGGGACAGCTGCCTCTCTTCTAGCTGGTTATTGCCCAATACGACCAGATGTCCCTATTTTTTTTCCCTGAAAGGCCAGAGATCTGCTTTTTTTGGTAGTATCTTCTGATTTTGGAATGATTGGCAAGAGTATTAGTCAGGATTCTTTGTTGTAAATGATACAATCTGTTCCAGGTAGTTTAAGCAGAGTTATTTTAATAGAGTGGTTATAAAACCTATAGAATCCTCCGGAGAACAAGAGAATCAGGCTCAGGCTGTCCCACGGGGCTGCCCCTGGAATGCCATCCCTGCCTCTCGGCACAGACAGCATAGCCAGCATGGATATCCAGGAGCGGGGCACCTGGAAGCAGATCCTTTGGCTTGCATCATCAGCTAGACTCTATCCTTCTGTGGCTCACATCCGGGTAGGAGTCTCACGTGGTATGTCCAATGGCAGATCCTAGATCGCATACAACCTGGTTACAAGGAAGGTGCTGGAAGAGTACTTTGGTTTCTCTTGAGATGAGCCCCATAAAGTGGAGAATTTTGTTAGACATATGGAGAATTTTGTTAGACATACAGAGGGCATTCAAAAGAAGCCAGGGAGCTGCAAAATCCACTGTAACCAGCAATTTTTTAAGTGGCCAAACAGAATGCACCTGAATGATACTTAGAGCCTTGCAGGTTGATAACTTCTGATATATGGGCTACTTTCGTTGTTTAAGCTTGTTCTTCCTCTGAGAGCAACTAGAAACCTCAAATCAATCCACAACCACCACCACCACCATCATCTGCTTTCAAAGACACTCAGGGTGCTGCAGAGTCAACCAGGACCAGAGGAACCATGATCCCAGGGCAAGGGGAACTGTGGTGAGGTGAGCTGAATTCCTCCACTATTCTCTCCAGAGGGGCATTTGCAAATTTGCTCACTGTGAAAGAAGATGGGAATCTAAATTTCTCCCAGGCGAGAGGGCAGCTGTTGGGGATGGAGAATCAGCAGAAGCTAGGGCAGGCTCAGAGGGCTGGAGAGAACAGCACTGAGGACTTGCCAGGCTGATGTCCCAGGGAGAAGGGAGGAGCCTCATGGATGCTGGTTGTTCCCCAATAAGAGAAGTAGCACATTCTGGGACTGTGCAGGGCAAGCGGCTGGGAGGCGAACATCCTGGAAGAAATGAGCAGAGGTTTCCAAAGGCGTGGCATGCAGCAGAAACAGGGTTAGGGCTCAGGACCAGGGATAGGGGCCTTAGGAATGCCCAGTGTTCTCAGCTGGAACCCCTGAAAGACAAGGGCCAGAAGATGGTGTCTGAAAGCTGAGACCCAGCCTCCACCCCACTCGGCTCCCGGCTGGATGAAGACGCTCAGCTCTCACGCCTGTGTTGCAGAGAAAGGGGAAGCCCTCTCCAGAGTTGGGTGTCTGGCATTCAACAAAAATTGCAAGGCTTTCCCAGGGACAGGGCCAAATCATGGAAAACAAAGGGAAAAAGCACAGAGAGAGATTCACAGGTGAGTAAGGCATTGAGGTTAAACAAGGGCTCTAAACATAACCCTGAGTAGTAAGGTCAGGAAAAAGGTGGAGGAAATAGATGAAAAGAGACGTTAAGTTCCAGCAGCCAGGAACTCAACCCAGTGCCAGGAACCCAAGTCCTTGCATCATCACTGCCGCCTCCCAGGGTGTGCATCAGCAGGACACTGGAGTCAGCAGTGGAGCGGGACTACAACGGCGCCTGATGTGGGTTCCCCAAGCAGCGTCTTACCGTCTACGCCAAAGGCCCGGATGCATCCTCTGGGCAATGCGTGCCGGGAATCCTATTAGACAGGCTGCTGAGGCCTTTCTCTGCCAACCTTTGAAATGACACTGAGTGACAAGACAGGGAGAACAGCGAGAGGACCAGGGGCAGCGCCGGCACAGCCTACGAGGATTTAATGGGAGGCTGGACAACTTCTCTTTGAAGAGAGAGAAATAGTTTAGGTGTTGTGCATGGCGCAGCCCGTTGAAAGCAACTCAGCGCTGCTGTCCCAGGGCAAAAGTAACTAAGACGGAAAACTGGTGGTGGTGTTCAACATTTCATTCATGGACCCAGAAATCTGAATTTCATGTACTTGTCACAGGCCACAACATATTTTGATTTTTTTTTTTCTTAATCATTTTAAGATGTAAAAACCATTGTTCACTCTGGGGCCATCATGTGCAGCTATAAAGTCGGTTGGGTAGGCTAGGGTCAGCCCAAGCAGGTCCTCTGGAGGACATAGTTACCACTAGGAAAAGACAAAACCCCTTCCGTGGTCCAAAAGGAAGCCCCCCTCTCCCTTCTGGGCAGGTCGCCGGCCGCGGCTTCCTACAGCTCCTGCCAGTTGATCCTCAGGTTTACTTTAGCCCAGTTACAAGAAAATTACAAACGAACCAAAAGGCAGGCGCGCGCACACGCCGAGCCGGATGACAGAGAGGACGTGCCCAGGTTCACGCTGACGTCTCCCCAGCGCGCAATGAGCGTTTTAAAGTTGGGCGCACACCTGCTCCCAGTCGGAGCGCACCTGCTGAGCGGTCCTCCGGCCTCGTCTCGCGAGAGCGGTGCCGTAGTAGTGGCCCCCACCCCCACCCCCCGCCGCCCAGTCCCTCTCCCCGATACAAAGCGGAGCCACCCGGCTCTGTATATTCGCTGCCGCTGCCGCCGCCCCCGGGAGTAGCCTCGGCTCGGAGCGCGCGCTGCAACCGCGACGCAGGCAGTCGGTTGTTTGATCGCTCGTAACGAATTAGCACATGTAATGC